TTCTGTGCATCTGTTGTGCACCATGGAGTTGGAACTGACCCATGACTGACCCTCCAGTGAGCTTTCAGACGCAGTGAATCATACAGGAGATGCCCATCCCCTACGTCCACCCTTTCTGCCCAACGGGAGCCTGTCCCACTCTCAAACTCCTAGTCTTTGCTTACACCAGGGGTTTCTCTCTTACTCACTCTGAGTCAGTTAATTATAGACAAAGGTATGAATGAGGAATGAATAAATGTACGCGTTCCCACTGTTCTCTGCAAGTGGAGATTAGGATCTTCCACGTATTTTTCATTTTGCAGGTCCAAAGCGGAGCTGCTGAGGCAACCTTACATTGTGTCATGCACTATCACATAGCAGATTTGCCTTTGTGATTCTCAGGTGTCAAGAATGTCTGGAAAGGCTATAACGTAGGGAACAGGGAAAACAAATGAAAGGCTGTCTATGTGGAGTTAAACGAAATAAAAATGAGTAAACAGATGGCATCCAACACCACAAGCTTTTTTAGCAAGAAGTAAAACTCAGAGGCTTGATCTGCTCTCTCCCTTCCAAACCGCTAGACACATTTCAATAAAACATAGTCCATAAGAACCTCATCTGAACTTGGCCAAAGGGCAGAATTTTCTCTAGCAATTGTGACCACTGCATTCAATATTTCATCAACAGAAACTTACACTTGATGCAGTAGACTTTTTTTAATAAATAACACTTCATACAGGAGTGTTTTTATAAGACCAGATTTCATGTACAATATTCAAACATTTTTAAAAACAACACTCGGTTTTGTATGTTGGAACAATCTGGCTTTCCAGTTGCTAATTTAGTGCTTTGATAGAACAAACAATAGAATGTCTACTTTTATACGAGTATTTGATGCCGAGTATTAAATATCAGGAATCTATTTTTGAGGCTCATTATAAACTCAGAGCAACAATTTGAGGGTTCAATACAAAAGCTTTTCACACGTCATGTGACATTTCTGTTAATTGGGCCAGCTATGTTTTTGGATTTTTGTTTTGTTTTAAGATAGTGTGAAGCTAGTTGTGTGTTAGGGCAGTGAGGATGCTGGGTTTCTGGATTTCCATGAAAAACAAGGTCCCTGGGAATTAGGTAACAAGAGGGAGGGTCTGTGTTTTTGTAGTGAGAATACTCCAAGGGTATATCTCAAAATTCCTAAAACCAATAACAACAAATTCTCCCCTCCAAAGTAAAACAAAACAAAACAAAACAACCAAAGGCTTTTAACAGAAATTTTTGTTGTTGCTGTTATGTGTGGTTGAGTCACCTGCGATCCACAGCAACCCTATGTACAGCAGCTCTGAAGCCTGCCCTGTCCTGAGCCAGTCTCACTAACTCTGACACACCAACCCTCATTGCCCCAGTCACTGTATCAATCCATCTCATCCAGGGTCTTCCTCTCCTGTGCTGTCCCTCCATCCTTCCAAGCGTGATGTCCTTCTCCAAGGACTGGTCCCTCCTGGCCACTTGCCCAAAGTAAGTGAGGTGGAGCTTCAAAATCCTAGCCTCCAAGGAGAAACTTGGTTTCACCCTCTCCAAGACAGACCTATTTGTCTTCTTGGAGGTTCATGGTATGTTCAAGACTCTTCTCCAGCACCACAACTCAAAGGCATCAATTCTTCTTCTGTCATCCTTAGTCACTGTTCAGCTCTCTGATGCATAGTGAGTAATTATGAACACCATGGCCTTTAGTCTCTAGACTGACGTTGTTGCTTTTCAACACTCTGCAGAGGTTCCTGACAGCAAACCTTTCCAATGCAATTCATCTTTTGATTTCCTGACTGCTTGTGCTAAGAGTGTTGACTGTGGAGCCAAGCAAGCTGTAATTGTTAACAACCTCCATCTCTTCTACATCCATCACGGTGCTGCCAATTGGCCCAGTGGTGAGAATCTTTGTCTTCTTGATGTTGAGCTTATTTTTCTAAATCATTTACCTTTTTTGTTTCTTTCTATGATTTGGGTGGAATCACCCAGCATACCAGCCTTGGATATCTCTGAATTGAAGCTATCCTGCCAATGTTTCATTATGAAGGAAAAGGATGACCTAAGGTATACATGCCTCCGGAAACTCTACAAATTTGATAAATGTTGATAGTTGTAGAGGGGCTTCAGACGTTTTCTTCATAGGGTCACTATGAGTCATGCTTGACTTGAAGGCAATCAACAACAACACAACTAGTTATCAAAGGCTGAATCTGAATTATGAGTGTAAGAGGAGACTCTGTAATCAACTCACTGAGAACAACTGACTGTTCCTTATAATGTGTGAGTCTATTATTTACTGTCCACACTTGACCACCACTCAGGTTTCCAGGAATGGGCCACATACAAAAGGAGGCGTCTCTGGCCACTCTCTCCTCAGAGTAAGCTCTGGAGATCAGGAGCAGCCCGTGTGTTCCACTTAGTGGGCACATAAACATTTGCTGAATGATTGCTCACTAGCCCACATTTAGCCAGAGAGGAGCCTGTACATTAGTGATAATCTCCCTTCTTAATCAATAACTTAACTTCTGACTGGTGCTCCCTCCCGCATACTTCTCCTGCACTGGCTCCAACAAGTACATGAGTATGGCAATATTTGGCTTCCATGTCATCCCCCTGGTGTCAGTCTAGATCCAAGGTGATGGTCTAGGCAGACAGATAACCCAAACCTTCTACAACAAAGACCTGAAAACGCATCAGGAAAGTATGAGTAACAATCTCGGATCTAAGGTTTGACTTTGGACTGGGTGAGGCTGTGATGCTATGAACCATGGGCGCTTTCTGTTATGTGCCCATTCTAGCAGGAGATCCACACACCACTCTCAGATGTGGCTACTGAGAGTGGAAAGGGGACACAGTCTTCCTGAGAGGCCACATGAATCAGGAGCTTTAAAAAAAAAAGGAACTCGTGGAAATGAGGTGCTGGCCTAGGCGACCTTGAGAAGCTCTGAGTGCTGAGTGAACGAAGTCAATGATGGACAAACCTGGCATGATCCTATTTATATGAAACGTCTACAAGCTGTAAATGCTCAGGCATCAAAATAGAGGAATGATTCCTAGGGGAAATTACAGCTGAAAGAACGCTGAGTTTCTGTTTAGGGTAATGGAAAAAGTTTTGAGACCAAGATAGTAGGGACAATAAGTAACACATGATGAATGTAACTAATGTCACTGAACTGTACACTAAAAATGTCCAAAATATCACATTTTTATTATGCCTATTTTACCACCACTGCAACAAACAAACAAAAACAAAAACAAAGAAGTTCACCCTTTGATCCCAAAATTGTACTTCGAGGAACTTCTTCTTCATAAACAATCAGAAATGTACCAAGAGGGTTGCACAATCCTGTGTATATTATATTATATTATATCATATTATATATTATACTGTGTTATTATTACTGAAAGAGGAACAAGCTGGAGGATGACTCCAAAATCTCAAAAAGGAAAACACTTACAAAAGAGAAGGAGCTTGAGTATAAGGATCCAGGAGGGGTGGGAGAGGCTGGAAGCACTGGGATGTGGATGTGCAGGGGGAAGAAGGGATTAATTATTGGGTTGTACAATTAGATGAGAGGGGAATGAGGGAAACTGAAAGAATCTCTTCAAATTTTTATAGCATTTTATAAATAAAGTAGGGGGGAAAAAGAGAAGGAGCTTGAGGTATTAAAAACTTTTTAGTATCAAAAATAGCATTCAGCCTTTTAAAGCTAGACTCGCTGGTCTGTCTTGATAGTCGCAGGTGACTTGATGGCACATAACAACATATAAGTCATACTCAAAAAACTATTTTTGACTCAGAACCACCTCACAGAGGGTTTTCTGTCAGATTTCGCTTTGGTGGTAATAATAGCAAAGCTTCGTCTCGCACACTTTGGGAATGTTGCTAGGAAAGGCTATTCCTTGGAGAAGGACATGATGTCTGCAAAAATGTCATGGAAGGTTGCTGTTGTTAAAAGCTGTCGAGTCGTAGATGACTCATAGTGACCCTATGAAAGAAAGACCTGGACACTTGTATAACTTCCAAGCTTGTTTTAATCGGGGAGCTCCACCAGACACTGTCCACCATGAATAACCATTATCGCATCTGACAAGTAAGTGTCACAGTGTTTAGCATCACAGCAGCCACGAGTTACCTCTGTACAGCAACGCACAGAGTTTATCAGTAGATACTTAAATAGGGAAGGGTGCGGAAAAAAAATAAGAGGAAGACCTTCCACCAGGTGGGCTGACACAGTGACTACAGCCACAAGCTCGTGTGTCGGAGCTGATGAGGACGGCACAGGACAGGACAGTGTTCGGCTCTGCTGCTCTCAGGGTCGCTGTGAGTCGTACTCGACTCCTCGACTCAACAACACCTAACAACAAACTGCGTGGGAAGAGACCTGCCTGTCTTTTCCCCTCGAAGCTGCTGGTACTTTGGAACCACAAGAGAGATGCTGCTTGTAGGTGGGCAGCCGGGCTTCCCATGGACTTTACCAGAGGCCCCTGGTACTTTTAAATTTGATTACAAAAGAAATACTGGTAAAAATTCTGGACCACTCTTTGGGGTTTTTTTTTTTTCTTGGTTTGCTTATAAAATTTGTATACAATGTGTTTCACACTATTCTTCATTCACATTGTGTTTCATACAGTCATTCTCAAGCACATAGTTTATAAAATGAATCACCACCACGCCCTGACCATTATGACCCTGTCTTCTCGCTTGGAACCTTCCCATTTGCTTCTCCCCCTCCCTCCACCCACCAAACTGTGCAGCCCTGTGGTTTCACCCCTACCTATCCTCACCTTCCACTTCCCCCTTGAGTTCCCATACACATTTTATGAGTTAATCCTTCTATTTTTACAATAATGTGGCCCACTGTTTTAAGCATTGGGGTTTTTTTTTAGAGACTTCTAGCTCTGAGTGTTAAGTTATGACTTGCTCTGTTTCACGTGCATCCAAGGGATTCCCGGCAGGACCTGCCCCATGCCACGGTGGAAGGCACATGACTTACCAGATAGCCTCTCCAGAAGGACTGAATGAGAAGTGCTGCTTTCTCTTCCGTCAGCAGAAGCGACAGCGGGATTGGTGGCCGGGGGCTGGAAAAACAGTAAATGGTCATATATCTGCGAAAATCCACCCCTTTGCCTCGGCAGTATCTTGAAAAAATGGCACAATCTTTCTGATAAAATGCCTCACCTTCCCCATTCTTAGAAAGCAATGCCACCTTTAATAGAGAGATTGCATAAATGAGTCGGAATTTTCCCTTTAAAATCCAAGAAGGATTCTCCCCCCGCCCCAGCCAGCATAATCTTAAATCACTGGCCACCCTGCTCTTCCTTGGGCACGCTCACAGATTGCTAAGTTGTAGTTAGTCCTGAAGTTGCAATATACATGATATTAGCATGAAACTGACAAAATTTGAGAGAGAGGAAAAGCAATCTTTAGCTCTTATAGTATAATTAAATCTACTTTCCATTGAAGGAAGTAGTTAATCTCTTACTTTGAAAGAAGTCAAGACTATAGCCGTGATAATGTGGTTTAAATTAAAACATATTTCAGTTCTAATACATCTCCATTTTCTCCCACTGCTGTAGAGTTGGCACTGATTTGCAGTGATTGGTTTCCCACGACTGCACATCACAGGGAGGGAGCCTGCCTGTTGTCTCCAACAGAGCTGCAGGTGAACTCAAACCACCAGAGGGGCATGGACTTTGGGTTAGCAGTACAATTCCCTACAGACCATGGAACTAGTGTCCCTTCTGCATTTTGTTGCTGTTGTTCTGTGCTGTCGAGTCACTTGCAACCCAATGCACAATAGCCCTGAACCCTGTCCTATTCTGAGCCAATCTCACTGTCTCTGAAAACCCTACCCTCATTCTACCAATTACTGTTTCAATCCATCTATCTATTCCAGGGTCTTCCTCTCTTATGCCATCCCTTCATCCTTCCAAGAATGATGCCCTTCTCCAAGGACTAGTCCTTCCTGGTAACATGTCCAAAATATGTGAGATAGAGCTTAAAATCTTAGCCTCCAAGGAGCAACTTGGTTTCACCCTCTCCAATACTGTTCTCCAGCATCACCACTCAAAAGAATTGGTTCTTCTTCTACCATCATCAGTCATGGTCCAGCTGTCTGATGTACAGCAAACAATAGCAAAGACCAAGTCCTGGATCAGGCACACCTTAGTATCCTGACTGACATCATTGCTCTTTAGCATTCTGGAACAGTCCCTGAAAGAAGATTTTCCTAAAGCAATTGATCTTTTGATTTCCTGACTGCTGTTGCCAAGAGTATTTTTTTGTGGAGTGAAGTATGTTGCAATTGTTAACTCTCTCAATCTCTATATATCACGATGCTGCCATTTAACCCTGTGGTGAGAATCTTTGTCTTCTTGATGCTGGATTTTAATCCATATTTAAGGCTGCAGTCTGACCGTTTGCAGCAAATGCTTCAGGTCTTCTTCAGTTTGGGTGAGCAAGGTTGTGTCAACTACATAACGCAGGTTGTTGATGAGTTTTCCTACAGTCCTGATGCCATATTCTTCATAGAGTCCAGCCTCCTGAATGATCTTGTCTGAATACAGATTGAAAAGGTATGGATATATGATGCATCCCTGACACACTCCTTTCATAATTTCGAACCACTCAGTGCTTTTTTGCTCTGTCCTGAGAACTGCTTCTTGATCTATGTACAGGTTTTCTATGAGAACAATCGGGTGTTCTGGGATTCTCATTCTTCTAAATGTTAGCCCCAATTTCTTGTGATTCACCCAGTCAAATGCCATTCCATAGTCAATGAAACATTCCTCTGACATTCCTCTGGTACTTTCAGCTAAGTGGTACCTGACATTGACTATGGTGTCCCTAATACTATAGCCTCTTCTAAACCCAGCTGGTATTTCTAGTAGTTCTCTGTTGATGTACTGTTCCAGTTGTTTTGGTTGGGTTTTTTTTTAAATCATCTTCAGCAGGATATTGCTTGCATGTGATATCAGTGATACTGTTGGGTAATTTCCACACTCTGTTGCATCACTTTTCTTTGAAATGGGGATAAATTTGATTCTCTTCCAGTCAGTTGTCCAAGTGGTTGTCTTCTAAATTTCCTGGCACAACCTGGTGAACACATCCAGGGCAGCATCCATCTGCTGAAATATGTCAGCTGATATTTCATCAATTCCTGGGGTCTTGTTTCTGCCAATTCTTTCAGAACAGCATGAACCGCATCACTCATCACCACTGCCTCTTGATATATGTTGCCTCATGAAATTCTTCTGTGTCAGTCAAATCTTTTTGGTAGTTACTCTGTGTACTCCTTTCACCTTCTTTTGATGCTTCCTGGGTCATTCGATATTCTGCCCATAGCATTCTTTTTTAAAAAATAATTTTAATGAGCATTTACAGAGATTTTGGATTTCCATTCATTCATTGTTGCACTACTCTCTCCACCCAGACCTCCCCCCTCCAGTTTGCTCCTCTCTTAAGTATTGCAACTTGAGGTTTGAATTTGTTCTTCTCTTTCTTCAGCTTAAGTAATGTTGAGCGAGTTCATCCCTTTGGATTTTTTGACTCAGACTCTTTGCACATTTCAGTATAACACTTTGTTTTGTCTTCTCAAGCTGCCCTTTGGGAAAAAAAGAATCTCCTTTATTTCCTGATTTCCTCCCTTTGCTTTGGCTTCTGAACATTCTAGTGCAATACTCAGAGTCTCTTCTGACTCCCACCTTGGTCTTTTCTTCCTCTTTTGTCTTTGCAATGACCTTTTGCATTCTTCATGGACGATATGCTTGATATCCTCCCACAGCTCATCTGGACTTCGTTCATTAGTGTTCAAGGCCTCAGACCTGTTCCTTGAGAGCTTGTCTGGAGGATCTAACAGGGGAGTGCAGCTGTTCATATCCCCTTGACTGAAGGGCAGTCCTCCTATCAGGATGGTCGTCCTCTTCAACCGAGCATGTAGCTTCAGGCGGGATGCACGTGGACTGGTGAGGGAGGAAGGGGACACCCGCCTAGCCCGCCAGGTCAGCCGAATCATCCCTGGCTATCAGAGCGGTGACAGAAGTCGCAGCCAGATTGCCCTCACTCCTCCAACTTGTTCCTGAGGTAGATTTTACCTTCAGATGGGACAGACTCAAGATCATATTTTGCTGGGACCCTTTACATAATGTTAGTTCTTGTGAGATTTTCAGGTTATGATGTGATTTTTTCTTTTTTTAAAAAAATCACAGATATCAGGGAGCTCTGGTGGCCTAATGGCAAGAGGCTGTACTGTAATCCCAGAGGTACAGTTCTAATTCATCAGATGCTCTGCTGGAGAAGGAGGTGTAATCTCCTCCTGTACCAGTCAGATTTGATTTGACGGTACACACACACACACAAATAAATTAAAAAAAAACAAACACAAAATACCATACATATAATCTTTAAAAATTATTGTTAAATGTTCTGGTTTGTGACTACCGACCGGGGGTGGGGGGTCAGCTAGGGGTCAGTTCTAACTCTATGGTACAACAACCAAAGTAGAAGTTCTATAGAGACATTGACCGTTCCAAAGGCCAAGTGGTAAGAAGTCACACCACCAACGTAAAGGTGCAAAGTTTGGCTGTGCCGCCGCTCCATGGAAGAAAAACACCTGAAATCTCCTCCCTTGCAATTTAAAACTTCCAGAAACCTGCTGCAGGGTCAGCTATGAATTGGTTCTGACCCAAGAGCATGGAATAACCAACTGGCAAAGTCTTGTGATTCTGATTTAATTCTGTCAGTGTGTTCACCTCTGAAAAGCAAGAGTCAGGGCTTCAGATACGACACATGAGCAAAGCTGCCTCAATGGCAGGTTCCCTGACTCGGCCAGTGAGGGTTTCTCAAGAGCTCTGGCCTCAAAGTCCTCCCGAAGGACAGGTGTCACGAGAACTTATAGTCATTCTCATTGTGGGCGAGCAGTCCCTGGTGGCACACCAGGTTAAGCACCTGGCTACTGCCTGAAGAGGGAGCTCTGGTGGCCCTTAGCAGCAGAAGCTGTGCTGATGGGAGAAGGATGGGCAATCTCTGCCCATGCGGTTCTAACTGCCTCTGAAAACCCACTAGAGGGTCAGCTATGGGTTGGTTCCAACTCTACAGTACACAATCGCACACAATTGCCTGAAGGTTGGCAATTTGAACCTCACCAGTGGCGTCTCAGAAGAAAGGCCTGGTGATGTGCTTCTGAAAGGTTCACCCACATCAAACACTTTATAAAGCAAGCAGCGGAGCTGGTTTTCACTCATGGGTGGTCAACAAGAGTAGAGGGTGCCTACCCTACAAAGACTGCTTGGTTTGCAGGCGGCCTCGTCAGGATCTGGGCCTAGACTCATCCAGCCCCTCAGCCCAGGCCCTAGGCCCACACCACACCTCAACCGGGCAAACGCTCGCAGATGCCCCGCCTGGCACAGAAGGTAGAGCTAAGTGCTAACAATGCCTGATTCCCTGGGACCCGGGGTTTTGTTTCTCTCTAAACTTCAATTAGAGGAAAAACCTGACCACAGTTATGTTTGTCACAATGAATGAATGCTCTTTTGAATTATTTCAGAATCAAAGAAATCAAAGCCTCGAGGTCATGGAGACCACTCGAGGCCAGCGAGGCGCTGCTGCCAGTCTCCGGCTCTGACGGGGCAGGCCTCTCTAAAGAGCAGAGGGGAGGAGAGGCTTCCATTCTCCGGAGGGATAATTACACCCTCTAAACGATATCATTGTTAGAGACCTTTTCCTAATGTGCAGTTTCCAATTTTGCTTGCATAATGTGGTGGCTTTTTAAAATTCGGAGGGTTTTGTGCTCTGTTCCTCCCCCCACCCCCACCCCACTTTCTCTTGCCTGATAACTAGTTCTCTTGGCTGTAAAAGAGGATTCACACTGGCCAGGGAGAAGAGGTGGGCACCATGCTTTTACACTCAATGTTTCTCCCTCCATGACAGTACTAATATGCACACTGCCCTGGTGTGCACACTGCACTGATATGCACACTGCCCTGGTGTGCACGCTGCACTGGTACACACACTACTTAGGAAACACAGGGAGTGACCGAGAGCAAGGAGAAGGAGTCCCCAATATGAAAAATCAGAATTC